AGCCCCCCCCCGCCCCCCGCCCGTGTGGGCAGCTCGGGGGCTCCCCGCTTCTGCTGGTGAAACCCTGGGTGAGAGGACAGCCCTTCTCCTCTTACCCTCAACTTGTCCAGATGCTTCTATTTCCAAATCTTTGGCTCCAGTATAGAATTTTAAAGATGTTTTTAATGTGAGTTGTGTCCTTTAATTCTCAAGAGCAGGCCCGGAGTACTGTAGTCGGCTAATTACTGCTATTGCAAACCCTTACCTACCTGCTAATTATTAGATAGGACACCTTGGTTCTTTACACTGGGTGGTTTTCCCTCTTTGGTATATAGTTGATGTCAGAATGTCTGGCATATAAATAACTCTCTCTGTTATAATCCCAGGAAAATATTTCACTGCTGTCTGTGTACCTGTTAATACTATTTGTTTTCTGTTAATAATTAAGCCTTTCTTGCTTTGAAAAAAGATACCTACCTTTTTGAATATCTATAAATCTGAAGTTAGGGAAAATTTTAAATAATATATTATGGGAGGATTATATATATGCAAGATTTCCCCAAAAATGTATACATACTTTAATAGCTCCATTTTGAAAATAAAATGTATTTCAAGCAACACTGCCTTTATAATTATTCAAAGTGTGTTATACATTTGGGGGGGGACACCCCATGTATGTTAAGATGGAGGCCTAGACTAATTTTTTATAATGCACAACAAAACTATTAAAAAGGCAAGATATTTTTGTCACGACTAAGCCTAAATTAAATTTTTAAAGTCCCATTAAGATAAATGCTGAAATTCTGGAAAATTTGTCAGCTTTGCCAGCAATTTTACCCTTCAGAGGGTGGTGGGTCTAATCAGGGAACTGGTACTCTGGACTTAATTCTCATTAGCAGGGACTAATTTGTCAAAGCAAGAGGACTAGCTGAAGTGATGGGTATGTGGACATTCGCTGTGAGAAAGGAGTTTGCTGAGGTGGCTGGCACCTGGCAGGTAATTCACTCAAGCTGCAAATGCTAACAGTTCAGGTTCAAGGTTTTACTGTGAACTCAGGTGCAGTTGTAGAGAATTTAGGGGCAACTTGGGCAAGCATCAGTGTGAAGGGCCTGATCTGAGGGCAAGGGGAGTCTGGCATTCTGGGAAGCAGAGAGTCTCTGGCATCCTGTTTACCAGTTTTGGCCCAAAAATATACATATGGATCAAGGTAGAAATACCACAAAGAAAGTTTGCAGAAACTAAGAGAAAGGGTCAGCCTCAGCCAACCGGGCAGGACTGGACTGGTGACTGGTCCATCAGAGCACAGAAGTGAAAATCAGGAACCTGGGCTGTCAACACTCCCAACACTCCCAAGCTGCCCCCTCGGAGGCATCTTCAGGAGAATTTTCCATTGCTTCATTGGGTTGAAAACTCCTGCATGTTATAGGACTAGTAGATTTTGTGACCATATGCCCAGTGCTGTACCTCCTTTCCTGTAAACTGGGTCTCTTGCTCCAATATTATATGGGATCCTCTGTCAGTAAATACTCAGATATGGGTACTGGCTGATGCTCGGCAAGCAGGAAAAGCAAACCTATGACCAAAATATGTGTCAAGTCCAAGATGAGTCATTTGTCTTTCCAAAATAGAAGGAATCCAATTGGACTACTTGACACCAAGAGACTTGTTCATCTCCTTGGATGACAGCGCTTTTCTGTATTTGGCAGCAGCAGTAGCTGTATCATCCTAGTGACTGGGAGCCTAAGCTGTTGGGCCCATGCATAGCCTCCAACTCTGCCACACTGACTACTTATTTATGTGCTTATCGTGACACTGGGGTGGCCAATGGCAGAGGCAGACAGACGTCAACTGGCCAAGACATTCTGTCTTCTTGGTCATTTGATGTCTCTTCTGTGAAAGACACTCTCTGATAGGTGTTAATATAAATTACAAAGATAAATTACACTTCCTACCCACTGCCATAAATTCATCTATGTGCCTTTTCTACAGGCCTTTTTATCCTCGATATTTCCTTTTCTATGGTCCTGAACAATCAGCCAGCTGGTTGGTCACCACTCTGTGAGTCCACACATATTCTAATCCCAGGCCACTACTCTTTCCACACAAAGTGGATAACCAAGTGCACTACCAGAAATTCTGCGCACTGGAAAGATTTCCCTTTTCACTGCTCTCTCTCTGGTCCACCTCTGTAGTCCATTATATACCAAGCTGACCTATCCTTGAATCAAGTTCAGCTTTTTCACTCCTCCAATAGCTGCTCATATGGGACCCACTATCCACATGTGGTCCTATGTATGAGCTGAGGGAGAAACTCTGGTGCAACTTGGTGGATGACACTGGGGACCTCCTCTTCATGCAACTTACTTGGACCCACTGGCCATGCTTGTGCCTGATCCCATATATATCACTTCTTTTCCTAGTTTTCTAAGGTGGCAGATTACATTATTTATTTTAGATCTTTCTTCTTTTCTACTATATGCATTTAATACTATAAAGTTTCTTCTAAGCACTGCTTTTGTTGTATCCCTTACATTTTGATAGGTTGTGTTTGCATTTTTAGTTAGTTCCAAATATGTTTTAATTTTTCTTGAGACTCCTTTGACCTGCGAGCTATTTAGAAGTATATTGTTTAATCTCAAATATTTGCAATTTTCCAGCTATTCTTTTGTTATCTTTTCTAATTTAATTCCTTGTGGTCTGAGAATATACTTTATATGAGATCTTTTCTTTTAAGTGTGTTAAGGTGTGAGTTAAGGCCCATAATCTAGTCTATCTTGGTGAATGCTCTGCATGAGCTTGAGAAGAATGTGTAATCCACTGCTGTCAGATAAAGTATAATAGATGTCAGTTATATCCAGTAGATTGCTGGAGCTATTGAGTTCTCTATGTCCTTACTGATTTTTTGTCTGTTGGATCTGTCTGTTTCTGATAGAGGGGTGTTGAAGTCTCCAACTATAACAGTAAATTCATCTATTTTTCCTTGCAGCCATATCAGTTTCTGCCTCATGTATTTTGAAGTTGTGTTTAGGTTCATACACATTAAGACTATTTTTTTTGGAGAATTGACCCTTTTATCATTATGTAATACCTCTCTTTATCCCTGATAATTTTCCTTGCTCTGAAGTCTGCCTGGTCTGAAATGAACATAACTACTTCAACTTTCTTTTGTAGTGTTAGCATGGTTTATCTTTCTGTGTTCTTTTACTATTAACCCATCTGTGTCTTTATATTTAAAGTGGGTTTTATTATAGACAACATATAGTTGAGTATTGTTTTTCTATCTACGCTGTCAGTCTCTGTCTTTTAATTGGTATATTTAGACCACTCACTTTTGAAGTAATTATTGATATAGCTGGATTAATATCTGCCATATCATTACTGTTTTCTCTTCATTGCTCTTGTTATTTCTTCTATTATTTTTCTGCCTTCTCTGATTTTCATTGAGAATTTTATATAATTCCATGTTCTCTTCTCTCTCAGCATACCAATTATACTTACTTAAAAATTTTTTAGTTATTGCCCTAGACTTTGCAATATACATATACAACTAATTCAAGACTACTTTCAAATAACATTATACTGCTTCCCACATAGTGCTTTATTCCCAAATCATGTCTTACTTCCCTTATAACATTTCACTTATCCATAAGCTATAGTCACCAAATACATTGTTGCTATTATTATTCTCAATAAATTATTACCTGTTGGATCAATTAAGAATAAGAAAAATAAAAATTTGTATTTTAGCTTTATTTATTCTTTCTTTAATACTCTTCTTTATGTGGCTCTGAGTTTCTGACCTAAATTATTTTCCTTCTCTCTTGAAGAATTTCTTTCTTACAAGACAGGTATACGGGTGGCAGGTCTACTGATTGCCTCAAATCTTGCTAATCTGAGGAAGTCTTTATTTCTCTTCAAATGTTGAAGGATACTTTCACTGAATCCAGAAATCTATGTCAGTTTTTTTTCTTTCAACACTTTAAGTATTTCACTCCACTTTCTTGTTGTTTGCATAGTTTCTGCAAGAGAAGTCAGTGTGATTCTTATCCTTGTTTCTCTACAAGTAAGGTGTTTTCCCCCCACTCTGGCTTCTTTCAGGAATTTCTCTTTGTCTTTGATTTTTCTGCAGTTTGAATATAATAACATGTAGGTTTTTGGTGTTGTCTGAGCTTCCTGGATCTGTGACTTGTGTTTGTCATTAATTTTGGAAAATTCTCAGCCATTATTACTTTCAATATTCTGTTCCTTTCTTTCCCTTCTGATATTCCCGTGTGCATGTTATACCTTTTGTACATTTTCCACAATTCTGTTTTATATTTGTCATTTTTCTCTCTCTTTACATTTCAGTTTTGGAAATTTCTATTGGCATATCTTCAAGCTCATTGATTGTTTCTTTGGCTATGCCCAGTCTATGAATGAGCCCATCAAAGGCATCCATCAATTCTGTCCCAGTGTTTTTTATTCTAGCATTGCCTCTAGATTCTTTCCTAGAGTTTACATCTCTCCACTTACATACACATCTGTTCTTTCATATTATCCACTTTTCCTTTAACACCCTTAGCATATCTATTATTTAAATGATTAGATTTTTTTGGTTGTTGGTGATGCTGAGTTTTTCCTATAACCCTGATGATTTTTTGTCAAGTTATTCTGTCAATTGTTGAGAGATGCTGAAGTCTCAGATTATAATTGTGGATTTGTCTATGCAAATTTTCTCATTTCAGTTCTATTAGTTTTTGCTTCACATATTCTGCTGTTCTGTTATTTGTTGCATAGACATGTAGGATTGCTGTGTCTTCATGGAGTGACCCTTTTATTATTCTATAACATTTCTCTTGGTCTCTGGTCATTTTATTTGCTCTGAGTCTATATTATCTGATATAAATATAGCACTTCTGCTTCCTTTGATTAATGTTTGCATGATACATCATTTTCCATCCTTTCACTTTCAACTTGCCTATACTGTTACAGTCACATCGAATCTCTCATAGACAGCATG